GTTGTACATTGATATCGAAACAGTACACAGGTAGCTTTCAACATCAGATTGTGGGTTGTTGGTTTACATTGATTTGTTCTGAATTTAAATTTTTTTTTTCAATTTTTGGTAAATTTTAGCACAACATTTGGGTCATGGTTTCATAGAATTGATTGGCATATTGTCACATGCAGTTTCACAGTATCTGGTATAATGATAGTCAGTGTGTTCATGGAGTGAAATGGTATAAATCTGGTGGTACATGTACCTTATTTTGTCCCTGTTTTGGGTTGGCTCTTCCTAGGATCAGCTTTATTCATGGCTGTTTGTACCTAATATGTTAACCCATATTTTGAAAAAGAATTTCTCTGAAATGTTACAACAGTTTGGTGAGTTTATTGGTATACATGAACAATAGAGCAAAGGATTGTTTATTTTCTGTGAGTAGCTAAATATAGTGCAGTGTACAATTAAAATTACCGATACTTGTCATTAATCACAATCATGCAAATATAGGTTTCATCCCCAGTTCCTTCTTTTCATCACAAATTCAAAAAATAGTCCCCTTTATAGTCTGCACTGTCCTTCAGAAGATCAGGACAAAAATAGCCAAGTTTTTTGAGTAAAAACTGAAAATTGACTCAAATTTTGTCTGTTGGCTCCAAAATTAGGGTTCGTTTCTAGAAATATTTAAGAATATTAGAAAAAAATGCAGAACAATTTGAACGAGAAAGTCTGGTGGTGAAAAGGATAATATAATATATGTTAACACATGGGTGTCTGGTAAAATCTTACAGTAATGAATATATATTCATCATAGTTTGTAATTATGTATATATATAATACGGAGGTGTAAAATTAAATCTAATTTATGAAAAGTAATTTCTAATTTTGATTTTTTAGGTTGATGTAGACTTGGCCAAATTGAATGCTGACAGACCAGAGGATGATGAAGAATTGAGAAAAAAGTTGTGGCTACGAATAGGTGAGATTTATGATTAGATATCAAACTTAATTGTTTGAACTCACTTTGCCAGTTGATGAGAAAATAATCAAGTAACCATGTCAACTACCAAATAATTATGATGTATTAGTTACACCCAACTTTTAACAATCAGAAAATAGAAATGAATTCATGTTTCCCACGACCACTAAGCTTAGCTTAGGCCTTGCGACCATATTGTAAGCTACATTAATTGTGAGAAACAATTTATTAAGACGGCAAACTCACATGCTTAATAAGCATGTACTAAATATGTGATAGGCATGTAACCTGCTTATATCACTAAAAATAAGCATTATGCATCATGTATACTCCTTACATGTTTATGAGTTCTGCATGTTAATCTTAGCAGTTATGCCACATGCTTACTATATCACATGCCTACATCATAAATATGCAAGATGTAAGTTTTAGAAGTAATTTAGTGTATCAATGACAATTTCGGCAAACAGCACTGAATCCCCCTATAAATTGTCTAATTATAAAAATGTCTGGTGATGATATTTAACTTCCTGTACATGTAAAGTTTATTATTTACCGTTTTGAGCAGCATGTATTTTCCCACCAAGTTTTGGTGCTGTATTTTGCTTATTTCCATATTTCTTGTTAATTTTGCAGCAAATGAACATTATTTCGCTTTGCATGCAAGTCTTGGTCAATTTTTTTTTTCAAAAAAAGTTTATTTTGTGAAAGATGACGTACAAAAATTGACTTTTGTTTCACCAATAGCTCGTCATGTTGTCGAAGAGGAAAAAGACATCAAACGAGCAATGGAGTTCCTACATGAGTGTGATTTGTTGAAAATTGAAGACATTTTGCCATTTTTTCCTGATTTTGTAACTATAGATCATTTCAAAGTGAGTAGATAATATTTTGTTTAAGGTATTGTTTAGACGCTAAATAATGTAGAAAAACCAATATTGCAATGACAGTTTCTGAGACTAAATTATAATATTTTTTTTTGTATTTCGAAAGATTGTAATATGTAAACATGTTTCAATTGTATTAAAACTTGATCAATACGGTTTCCTGAAAGTTTTTGAAAATTTCAGATCTTTTGTGAATAGATCGCTTTTTCCTATACAAAAAAAGTGTAATATTTTTTAAATCAAAGAAAGCTTAGAAAGAACTCCCATGTGCTGAGAGTATTGGAGACACATTAAATATAATTCGAAATTACTTAGCTGAAAACTAATTATGCAAATCAGAAAATTAATATGACCAGATTTGAGTGTAAAACTAATGAGGTCTGCGCAATGTAACAGAAAATCTATGTCTCCAAGTTTAGTTGAAATGTGATTAGAACCAAAAAATTA